TAAAAGGGCCAAATCTCCCAGGGGCCATAGTCAGCAGGCAGGAGGCGGGAAAACAGGCTTCTCCAATGTCCTGTGGTGAGGTTGGTTTCGCCACATTTTCCTTTTATTGTATGCCTGCCGTTTTGCCCATTATCGTGTTTTGCATTTTTGTCTATGCCGTTGTCTGGTTAGATTATTTCTAGTTTACCGATTATAGTTTGTGATCCACAACATTTTTATGCTGCATGTTTTGTAATGATGTTGCTACGCTATTATATTATGTTTATTATGCATGTTTTTTGGAGGTTATTGTTCCCATACTGTTTTTTTCTGTTTTATTTTAGTTTGATGATCTACACTATCATCTTCTCTGGCTTTGCACACTAGTGTTATGACTTGGTTTCATCTTGTTGGTTCATCTGTTGGTTTATCTGTTTCCTCTGACCGTCCTCTGCCTGTTCAGCAGCATTAAAGAAGAGGGGCTTGTAATGCATACTACTGGTTTCTGATTGATTGATTGATTGAGTGATAGTTTTTTCACTTAACTCTTTGTTTGCTAATATAAAGCCTCATGTCTTCATTACAATTTAGACTATACCTTCACCAAGGCTGGGCTAATTATATAAGATATGCATATGCCTTATGCAATTTCCATTTTTCATTTATTCGTTTATCCTTCATTAAAATATTTGAGAAATGAAAAGCTTTAGACTGTTACAGTGTTCTTAATCTTGCAATACTTCACACAGTGTCTAAAATGTTGGTAAGAAAGCAAAAAGGCAATGTTGTCACATTCACATGCTCACTGATGAATATGAGTATGACTAGTAGATGAGTCGATATGACCATGATCAGATTATTTATCATTTATTTTTATTCATTTTTTTTTCTATTTTAGTTTAATTTATACTAGGGACTGTGAGAGTTTCACAATACAAACACAATGGATGGAGCAATTGTTGTTCTTTCCTCTTCTCCAATATATTACTGCAGAGATAGAGAAATATACAAAATAGTGTAGACAGTTCACAATATATATTAAAGTGCAATAAGTGCAAGGAAACACTCACAAAATCAGAGCCAAGGGACCTGGCTCTGGTATAGATGACGTCTGGATCTATTATAGGGTGATCCTGACCCTTCTGTAGCTGGTAAGGTCTCCAATAAGTAGAAGAGGATCCAAAGGATGGGATGAAAAGTTACTTTATTACTAAAATATATGTAAAATAATAAATAAAATATGGAAGAATAAAATATAAGTACAAAGTAGTAAGCCAATACGCGTTTCGCCAATTGTGGCTTCCTCAGTCAGCTTCTAACAATACTTGTCCAGATAATGTCCTTATATAAGTCCTCAATACCTTGTATTTTGCGGGAAAATCCGTTGTGGAATGCATTCATGCGTTCCATATCTCCGTTTGTATTCATTTCCTGCTTCCGGCGGCGGCCATTATGTGACGTCACTTCCGCATTTTGACATCACTTCCGGGGTTTCTCTCCGAGTGGAACGCATGGTGCGTTCCACTCGTTCTGCTATCTCCGGCTTTCACAACAGGACACTCAAATGGAACGCATATATGCGTTCCAACGCTCCCACTGGTCCCCCTCCACATCGTAGAGCTGCATACACTTTCAGTTCACATAATAGGGCGCAAATATGTGTCCCAAATTCTTCTTGGACTATCTCCACACACCATATCTCATGTATATAGGGACAAGGACATATTTAAATATGTATTAAAATCAGCATCAATATTAATCAGCATCAATTTGTCACCTTGACATATTAATTCGACTGAAATATAAACAATCATAATAAATACCAATTATATCACCTTGACATATTCCAGCTTGAATACAACCATATATTCAAATTCCCGATTCTTAAAGTGACCATGCTCTTTTTATAAAAACAGTGAATTTTAAAAAGACAGTGAATTTTTCATAAAGTGACCATGCCAAGTGGTAAATATACAGGTGGTGAATACCTACAGTAATTTAATATCTTTCTAGTTTTCTTGAATTTTTCATAAAGTGACCATACAAATATTATCAAAGTGCATATACAGGTGGTGGAATACCTACACTAATTTGATATCTATCTAATGTTTAAAGACAAAAAAAATAAATAAAAAAAATAATATATTATATTTAAAAAAGAGTTTTATCCTTATTCTTTCCTAAAACTATCAGTTAATTTATAAAAAGTGGCATAACACAGTTTCACACAGCCTATGTTCATTTTTATTTTCACTGTGTAGGCTCTCTCTATCTTTTTCCATGTTGAGTATGGTTATATTTTTATTGTTCACTCTTATCCACTTCATGCAGGTTTGGAATATATCAATCCTCTGCTGTTAGGTGTATGGACACTGATATGCAGTACTTCTTATTTCCACTGTGGCCAAAGAGATTGCAAATGGCTTCATTAGCACATGCATGTTCTGATCCCTTCTATGGGACGATCACGGCTGCTTTTGGAATGCAGGATGCGTTCCATATGTCGACGGCAGTGCCAGCAAGTGGACCCAGGCGTTCCCTGCGTTTCCTCTGCATTTCTGGCGGATGCGTGCCACAAGGCGGATTACGTCTGGGGATTGTGGAATGCATATTTGCTCCCCTTTACCTCTACCTCCTGGTGGGATATCACCTAGTGTGGAGATGTTCTCTGTTAAACATACACACATGTATTTTTTTCTGTTTGATCATATTCACATATATTTAAGGGGACCATGCTTGTCTTGGGTTTACACCTATAGTACATCCTCATTATATGCAGTACTACTTTATGAGATTTTATGAAATGGATTTAATGTATATTACAATATGATGAGTGCATTTTTCTGTTTATTGGTTACCTTGTCAACCATAGTCATGTGACTATGATTGTGAGAGTTCCAATCATTTGTGGGTGGCCACCCATTTCACTCAGGTGTTTCTTATTTTGTTATTAAGTGTTGATATTTCAAGGTAAGATTTTCTTTTTCACCATATGCTCCCTTGATAAAGGAAGATAGTGCTGAAACATTGGGGGCAAAATATTTTTTTTCACTTCTTCACCCTCTTCTCATGTGCTTTAACAGTCTTTATTTTCGGTATGCATTTTTTGGTTCACACTTTGATACAGGTATCATAAGAATTGTCTGTCTTTAGTTGTGGTTATACCACTTAACGTGCATATTTCTGATTGATCTTTTTTTTTTATCTCTTTCTCTTCCCTTAGTCAGCCCTTGCATATTCTCTGTATATGTTTGACTATATTGATACTTTAATTTGACAGTATTGATACCTGTTATGTGTGTTCCTGTACAATAATGTGTTTCATATTTAAGACGGTTGTGCTCCTCTTTTCAGTATTACATTCAGTAGGTGTGACATAAATAGATAAAGAAAAATGAACAATGAGACTCCAGCACTTCGTTATCCTGAAGTCTCAGTCATGGGCGTCCGCAGGAATTTTTCCAGGGGGGGGCATAATTGTAATGACATCCATGCTTGGTACCTTTTTGACAGTGTCATGAAAGGGAAGGGGCATAGCCATTATCACATAAAGCCAGGGTGAATAGCGTTTTCACAACTATGGTGTCAGGAATATATGTTTGTATTCCTGACACTATAGTGTTCCTTTAAGCAAATTAAAGGACCATTCTGGTCACCATAACAACTTCACCTAAATGAAAATGCTATGATGCCAGGAAGCCCCTGGGTGCTCGCTTTCCTTTAAGGGGTTAAATCGCTCTCAAATGGTTTAACCCCAAAGGCTTCCTCCAGCTCCAGATCTCCAGGTCGCTCAGTGGTATTCAGCTTCTTAAATGGAGTGTCAGGAAGTGCAGATTGACGTCAGGCATGGGTGCCGCTGATTGGCTAGAGTGGACAGTTGACGCTCTAAGCCAATCGCTAGTTCCCGGTTCATAAAATATTTTTTTTTTTTATGAATGGGGAGCTACTGATTGGCTTAGAGTGCCAGCTGACCGCTCTAGCCAATCAGCAACATCCCTACCCAACGGCACTCTGTGCTTCCTGACACTCAGTAAATAAAAGTGAACACATTAACACCGATATTTTTTTACCTTTGGAGATGAGAAGGTCCAGCGTTTCCCTGCCAGGCACTTTACCTTTGTGCTCCTTCTGATTCTTTCTGCTCCTTTACCTTTGTGCTCCTTGCTGTCCCTTTGTGCTCCTTCCTGCTCCTTGCAGGCCCTTCCTGCTCATTCTCCTACTTTATGTTTGTGCTCCTTCTGCCCCTTCCAGCTCATTTCTCACCCTTTCTGCTCCTTCTACTTTACCTTTGTGCTGCTTTACCTTCCAGCTTCTTGCTGACCATTCCTGTTCATTTCTATATATCTATACTGATACTTTAATTTGACAGTATTGATACCTGTTATGTGTGTTCCTGTACAATAATGTGTTTCATATTTAAGACGGTTGTGCTCCTCTTTTCAGTATTACATTCAGTAGGTGTGACATAAATAGATAAAGAAAAATGAACAATGACACTCCAGCACTTCGTTATCCTGAAGTCTCAGTCATGGGCGTCCGCAGGAATTTTTCCAGGGGGGGGCATAATTGTAATGACATCCATGCTTGGTACCTTTTTGACAGTGTCATGAAAGGGAAGGGCATAGCCATTATCACATAAAGCCAGGGTGAATAGCGTTTTCACAACTATGGTGTCAGGAATATATGTTTGTATTCCTGACACTATAGTGTTCCTTTAAGCAAATTAAAGGACCATTCTGGTCACCATAACAACTTCACCTAAATGAAAATGCTATGATGCCAGGAAGCCCCTGGGTGCTCGCTTTTCTTTAAGGGGTTAAATCGCTCTCAAATGGTTTAACCCCAAAGGCTTCCTCCAGCTCCAGATCTCCAGGTCGCTCAGTGGTATTCAGCTTCTTAAATGGAGTGTCAGGAAGTGCAGATTGACGTCAGGCATGGGTGCCGCTGATTGGCTAGAGTGGACAGTTGACGCTCTAAGCCAATCGCTAGTTCCCGGTTCATAAAATATTTTTTTATGAATGGGGAGCTACTGATTGGCTTAGAGTGCCAGCTGACCGCTCTAGCCAATCAGCAACACCCCTACCCAATGGCACTCTGTGCTTCCTGACACTCAGTAAATAAAAGTGAACACATTAACACCGATATTTTTTTACCTTTGGAGATGAGAAGGTCCAGCGTTTCCCTGCCAGGCACTTTACCTTTGTGCTCCTTCTGATTCTTTCTGCTCCTTTACCTTTGTGCTCCTTGCTGTCCCTTTGTGCTCCTTCCTGCTCCTTGCAGGCCCTTCCTGCTCATTCTCCTACTTTATGTTTGTGCTCCTTCTGCCCCTTCCAGCTCATTTCTGACCCTTTCTGCTCCTTCTACTTTACCTTTGTGCTGCTTTACCTTCCAGCTCCTTGCTGACCATTCCTGTTCATTTCTATATATCTATAGGCTGCTGCCCC